TCTTATTCTATCTTCATATGATATTCTCACATTCTTTAGAATATTTGAGGTGATTGTGGCAAATGTATCTCTAATCCTTCCCTTCACATTATCGCAAGTAGTAGGTGGAACACTGTGTACAAGATTTTTTATAGCCTGAAACAAAGAAGTCTATTACGGGAGGTTTGGACACCTGTGGTAGCCACTGACATGGACCATTCCTACCGACTCATTTATTACTTAATTTAATTAATTATTAATTAATTTATATAATTTCTCACTGAATATGAAAAATGTGCAGGTGCGCCATCTAATTGCATTCACATTTTTCTCCTTATATTTAAAAACGTCATCAAGAATAACCCAAACCAATCCAGTAAAGACTTCGATAAAGACTCGTGGATATATCTTACAAAAAAAAATCGATAAAAAACGAAACGGCACAAATATCTCCAATACCGTTAGAGATATGTATAGGGAACCTATATATAGTTCGAAAGAGTTTTAAATTTCCCAACTCCCAAAGTAAAAATATACTGGGTGTTCCATTTAAAATAACCAAGTTATTGCTGTTTAAAGTTGAGAGAAGTAGTCATCAGTTTTTTGAACACCCTGTATAATACTAAGTGACGACAAATATAATAATTTATAACTTCAATGATCTAAAATAGACCCTCCAAAGCTGCTTCCTTAAAATTATTTTTTTATTGCTAATATTAAATTTCTCCGCTATGCCTGCATTTTCACTAAAATTGAAATATCTCANTTGCTCAAAAGTGTGATGGTATAACTTTATAAACATTTGTAAAAATTTTAACACAGTATGTCAAAACACAATTAAAAATGGCATAATCAAAGTTTTGTTATTTTCTCTAAAGTAATCTGTGGTTAACAGCTTCATCTACTAATTTGTATGATCTGTAGAATTGACTTAAAAATTTTAAAAGAAAAACTAATTCATGTGTAAATAATAGATACTTCTATACTGATGTACCAAATTTCTTAATTTGCTTCGTGGATTTTACGTAGAGCGTTGTTAAGAGTATAGATAAAAGATCATTATTTAAAGGAGAATATAGGTGAAAATTCTTATTTAGGCATTAGTCCGAGAGCCAGTGGCATTTTGAGGATAGTCATTTTACCAAGGTTAATTTTTACACATATGTATATGAGGTCTTACATGGTACATAAACCAAACGACCGTCAAATGCCAATCTTCGGGTAGAGGTGGGAGTAATAGGGTCACCCCCGCGTTGAAAAATGTCAAAAAAATTAATAGTACCAAAGCCGAAATTGTTTGTATACTTTGTTTATAGCAATAAAAGATAGTATAGAACGCGTCTGTCATAAAAACAAGCTGTAGGTGAGCACGCGTCGGAGCAATAGCTTTCAGCTATGGTCAAAAATATTTTGAGAGTTGAACGTATCTACGACGTTTTTATATCTACGGCATTACTGTAAGTGTCTCACCTATATATGCTACAGTCGAAGACCGAAACTTATAGTCTCTGCTATAGTCGATTAATATTATCGTCATTTTTATCGTTTTTCCAAAAGCAGAGGAAAAAGAAGAAGGCATAGATATCGATTCGAGCGAACATGAAAGCAATATCGACAAAAGTAATGTCGAGGAAAGCGGCAATGATAGCGATGAATAAAATAATTAATTAATTCATTTTTTGTGCAACATTTGTCCTCATACAGATACCTTGTTGTCCATTCAATAATATCATATTTTTTACCGAGTAACATAGAACATATTTGTACAATTTCATTTTTGCAAAAAACCTTCACTTTTTTATTCTATCAAAGTTTAAATTTCACAAAATCATAGGTATGTGCATAATATTAACGAAAATAACAATAAGCTGGCTTATGTGAGGGGAAAATTCTTCAGCTGACTGTGAAACTCTCGAAAACGCACGGCCCGCTGAGCGGCCCGCTACCTGTCTGAATAAAAGTTAATGACCTCAGTTGGAGGCTATACTCCCGACGCGTACTCGCCTGAAGCCTGTTTCTATAACATACACGTTCTATACATCATTAAAATCGATTTCACGTTTGGTACCTATTAAAAAATTGTTTAATATGATTTTCATACCTGTTTATACGCGCTGAAGCGTTTTCCTCCTGCATTTTTGCAGCTGAACGTGCTTTTTTATCATTTATATATACATGTATAAACAAAGTATACAAACAACTTCAACTTTGGTACTTACTATTATTTTTTTTGGCATTTTTCAATGCGAGGGTGGCCCTATTACTCACACCTCCACCCGAAGAGCGACAGTAGAAGGTTGTTTCGCTTATGTACCATAAAATACCTTACATATGAATGAAAATCCTTGGTACTATTGGTCACTAAAATGTACCGCGGGCTCTCGGACTATAAAGAAAAACTGATTTATTTTGAAATATCAACATTGGCAAGAGTTTTCGTTTAACGTTCATTTCATCTAATTTTAGAGATTAATATAAAATTGAGATTTTAGGTAAGTTAAGCTAGAAGAAAACAGGATAAACCTAAGAAATTTGTTAATTTAATAAAAATGAATAAATGTTCAGTATATCTACTACCCTTACGAATGCATCTCATTTAATGAGAGAAAATCGAATATTTCGGAAAATGTGTGGATATATGCAGTTATTCATTGACAGGATTAATTATTAAGCTGAAATCATTAATTATTTATTAAACTGAAATCATTTTATTCGAATTGCAAGCTAATACGCACATTTAAGGATAACTTCCGTAGTTCGCCGTTTAAGAGAAATTGGGAAATTAAAAAACCTCAAGTGGGTTAATACCACATATCCACGTAAGTTACATTACCTCATAAACCATAAGCCACAAGTCAAGAATTTATAAGGATGATACAGAAATAAATAAATAAATTATAAAAAATAATATAGTTGCGCCACAAGTGTGTGAAAAAGGTAGGGATATCACAATCCACTTTTTGGATTGTGATCCACTTTTCTTTAAATTTATAAATATAATTATAATATTTTTAATCAAAATTACACAAACAATGTTTTGGCATAGGAACAAATTTATGCAAAATTTAAATTGAATGCCTCAAATAACAATAGAGTCGTGAAGAAAAATCGTGACTTCGTATCGTGAAAAGGGGCGCCTAAACAAAATATAGTTCTTTCCAAACAATCTGCAGTGAACGGTTTGAATTACCTTTTCTGTATAAGAAGTCCTATATAAGAAATATATTTGTTTTAGTTTCTCTACAATAAAATAGTAATCTGTGTACAAAGACATGTACGAAAAATAATGTCTTTTTTAGTTTTTGCTGATGAAATGATACAGCATTCATGTATCTTAAACTTTTATTATAGGTACCTAAACTGATATGGATAATATACTAAATAAAATATCTCACAAAATGAACTTTATGAACTTATCAACAGTGATAAAATTAATATCGATAAGTAGGCAATAAATAATTTTTTGAACAAAAATAACTTTATTAAAAATAACTCCCCACTGACTGTCGGTAGGTAGTAGAGTTTAAGTGAATGTATAATTTTTAATGTAGTGAAATGATCCAAATAAAGAAAACTATTTTTGTTTTACAGTATTTGCGGCACTTTTAATTGTTAATAAACTTGCTGATACCTATTTTCAATTTTATAAATTGTCAAAAATGTCTTTACTACAAATAGCTTGGTATGCAACTGTAAATATTTCGTTTCGGGCAATTATTTATATATTATTTCCACATAATTCTTTCAATCAATAAAAGACAAATTTCTCACTTGTCTTTCAAAAACTCTTAATGATTCAACTTACAAATTCCAACGAAGGTTTAACTTTAAACCCGTTTTTTACAAAACGGCTGCTTTCAGCGACAAATACTAAGAGTACCTTTTGTGTGTAAAATTGGATGGAGAATAGGTATGTTTAGCCAAAAATGACATACAGTGCGACACAAAAACGTTATTGTTATTTAAATCCAGGTACAACACTGTATGTGGCGCCCTCTGACATTAAACAAAAAATTAAGCAATATCATTAATACTCCCAGTTTCCCGAATTTCGTCAAATTTCCATGTTACTGAACAAAAATATGATCAAAATACCAAAAAAATATTTTTTTTTGGAAGTCCTATATCTCAAGAACCAAGCCGTTGCAGACCAATGTACATATGAATCTTTTATTTAAAATTAGTCAAATATTCATCTTTGTAGAAGTACTTAATGAACACCCTATACAGGCTGTTACAAATTCGCTTCTCACTACAGAGATCTAGGAAACGGTAACAAATACGAAGTAGCTTAAATAGAGGTTGCATAATCAAGGGACCAACATTATGCCTCTAAAAATGAATTCTAACATGATTAGTTTTCGAAATATTTGAAAAAAGACGAAATTTTGGAAATCCGTTTTTTTTCATTTCAGTCTTGTTTGAGGTGATATTGAAAAAAGAAGAACACTTTCTCATGGCAACTTCTTGCCCTCTATTGAATGGCATAATCAATTTTTGTATGTAGCGTTTCGTCTCTCCAGGACCATCATCAACTCCATATTGTTACGGGTTAAATTTAATTCAAAGTTAATTCTTATATCTTATTTAATAGTTAATTATTATTCTTTTATAAGCGGGTAATTCATACCGTGATTAATTGGTTGCCTAGTATTGTTCACCACAATCTATTTAAATTCGGCGAAAATCGGTGTTCTCTTATCGCCAGGACAAAAACAAGACCCCGGCGAGGACTGAAAAGTAGTCCCAGAATGAACTAATTCTCTTTATTTAGGGTATATAATAAATAGGGAAAAGGATTCCATAATTGTCTCCTGTAGTGCCTCCTGTATACGTCCTCTTTTAATTTATTTTCGTAGATTATTTTCTTCCTATCGATATCGATCTAGTTTTTACCAGGCTGTATCCCTACTCGCTTTCCGTGTGTACTTTTGTCTGAGGTGTCGAATACAGCAGAGGTTCTTCGAGCGGTGATACTTTTGTTAAAGTTTATGTTATATGTGTTTAACCATTGAATTGGGAATATTACAAAAGTATCCTACACATTTGTGAGGAAGATTTTGTGCCTTGGGTAATTTCCTGCATTTCGCAAAGCGGATCAAAACGGCTCAGCACGAACCTAAGAACCACGCCTTAGGCAGACATTTGATACCGAAGCCTTCTACGAGGTGTAGAAGTGAGTAATTTAGTCTGATTTGATAGGTATGTAAATTAAAGTCGATTTTATGTTTCTTTTAGGGCTTTTTCCTTCTTCTTTTTTTTTCTCTTGGATCTTATGCAACTCCGTTCTTCTCCTTGGCATCTTCTATGTTCAACCTTATTTCACATCAGTACATTGGGGTCCACGGTGCACGTAATCTTCCCCGTAGTCCATATCTGGAGAATCCAGACGACAGTTTGGAGGAGGTCTCTCTTCCCGCTGTGTACACTATTTCCCGGCGAATGCCATCCACCCTGCATGAAGGGGTGATTTGGAGGTGCATCTACTCCGACAAAACCTGGCCAACCACTTCAGAGTGGGAGTTTGGAGGATCTGCCCTTCCGTGAACACAGATAAGTGCTAGGGATATTTTTCTTTTTCTTTTTAAAGCCTATTGGGGCCTACAAAGTATTTATTTAATATTTATCAAGAAATCCTTTAGCTGAAAAATTATTCACTTTATGTAACAATGTTAGTCATTATTTATTTGTGTGTTAATTGAATTTTATATGTATATGTCTGTTCATATTTACTCCATTGCAAGCCAAAAGGCGGATGTTTGTTAAGACGAAAGTGATCACCTTCAGTTGACGTCGACTATAATAATCACGGGTAAATTATTGTAGAACATCAGATATGTTACGCAGAAATATCTAAAGATCTCGCCCTATTAAGAGAGATCCTACATGTGATAATTTTGTTCATTTTTTTATATTAAATATAATTGTTATACTGTCATACTGTCAGTGTTATACTATTTGAATGAACGTATTGCTTTGATAAAAATATATGTGTACTTTTTTTTTGTTCTACTCATATTACTTTCTTTTTATCCTCTTTCAGTACAATTAAAGGTAAAAATTTATCACCCTTCTTACCTACTCCCCGCCGACTAGTTGGCCGAAGTGTGTAGCTACCATCGCTGCTCACTATAATTTTTTTTCTATCGCTGGTGGCCCTTAAGTAATGATGTAATTTAGTAGGAGATATTGGAGATCTTTTAGTTTATGCTCCTCTATTTTATTTTATTATGTTTAAGATAGGCCAACCGGTAATAAAAATGGCGCCCAACGTGGGGCCGGGGTCTTGTTTTTGTCCTGGCGATAAGAGAACACCGATTTTCGCCGAATTTAAATAGATTGTGGTGAACAATACTAGGCAACCAATTAATCACGGTATGAATTACCCGCTTATAAAAGAATAATAATTAACTATTAAATAAGATATAAGAATTAACTTTGAATTAAATTTAACCCGTAACAATATTTTTAAATACGGCCCAGGAAATTTTATTAAATTTTTTGCAAGCCTCCATGTCCCCCAATACTATACTGTCTCAGCCCAAACCAGATTCATATGTTTTGACTTGAAAAATTCATCTTCAATGTTCCTTTAACCAAATCTTTTTTTAGATGTTAGTTTCTTGATCGTACACTCTAAGCGTCGCGTCGTTAGACCGTGTGAAATCCACCATTTAAACAATTACCACCACGCATACAATAAAACAGGTATAATAAATTCCGATATTACGCTGATCTTCATATTCAACCTTTGCCAAAACGGAAATGTTTTGAACAATACTGAAAGTATAATATTCATTTGGTGTTTTGGTTGTTCATATGCATATTTAAGAATTAATTTGTCATAATAAAGTTAAAATTGTAATAATGTTTTAATTTTGACGCAACAACTTATCGAGTTGTGCATGACCAGATGATGGTAATAATTAACAATAATAAATGTTTTATTGTAACGCGAGGTGATAATAGTTTAAATAACTAGATGGATTTCACATGGTCTAACGACACTTAAAGTGTACGATAATTCAATAAACATGAAAATATAAATCAATAATTCAGATTTTGAAACGAATATATTGAAAATGAATTTTTCGAGACAAAACAACTGAATTTGGTTCGGGCTGAGACAGTACAGTATTGGAAGTCATGAAAGCTTGCAAAAAATGTAGTAAAATTTCCAGGGTCGTATTAAAAAAAATTAAGTTGATGATGGTCCTGGAAAAATGGAACGTTAAATATAAAAATTGATTGTGCCATTGGATAGAGGGCGAAAACTTGCTATGAGAAAGTATTCCTTTTTTTTGAATATCACCTCAAACAAGGCTGTATTTATACAAGGCTATAATATTAAAAACCAGTACTGTATTTGGGAATGCAGTCAAGTGCTAAGGGTTAGTATATTAAAAATACTCTATGTTTGTTGTTAAGCTTTCGAAAATGTTTATTTCCTTTCTCAAGACACAAAACATGAAATTGAATTATAAAAAACTATCAAAGCCGAGAGATACAGGAAACGTTAAAATTTTGTCCATTCACTTAATATTAAAAACGTTATAAGTATATGGTTATATTATTTAAAACAATTTTGCAAATGAAAAAAGGAGCAATGACCTCCTTAGCACTGTTGACTGCATTTCCAAATACATCAGAGGTTTTTTCTCTCAATTAGTCAGTCAATATCCATGTATTTGTTATTCAAAAGTACAAATGCACTTTTGAGGTAGTATTTTTATTATTTAATAAATCATTTATCATTTCCTTGAATATAATTATTATCAATATCTTGAACGGATGACTTTCATTTCGATGAGTAACAATCATGATTTGTTTCCCCTTAAATTATCAGTAACGTCAACGTCGATGTGAAAAACACGTCAGTCAAATATTAGTCATGTTTTCTGCTATATTTTTAAAATAAGAATTATAAAATTCGCTGTTAATGTATCAAAATGACAAATTTTTAAAATACAAATTATAGAAATATTATTTGGTAAAATTTAGAATTCGAGTATATAAGATTACTTCACTAATTCACGAGCACCTCTTAAAATAATGCATATACAAGGTGTAATAACAATATAATGAAAATGAATAAACATATACCTCTTAGATTTAAAAATATTTTATAATATAAAGATTTGCCCTACATTTTTGATATAATATTAATAATAAAAAAAAAAAATTATATTTATAAATATCTTACAATGAAAATGTATTTTTCGTTAAATGTGTAAATTGATTCGAAAATTGTTTTAAATAATGTGGCTATAGTTAGGTATAGGTAATTGTTTTTAAATTTAGAGAATGTACAAAATTTTAACAAGGCTATTATATTTCTCGTTTTTGATGTTTTTTTTTAAATTAATCTCACGTTATATGTCTTGAGAAAGGAAATAAACATTTCCGAAAGCTTGACAACAACACATAGTGTTCTTATTATACCGGCCCTTAGTAATGTTGACTGCAATCCCAAATACATCACTGGTTTTTTTCTTAACTTGTCAGTCAAGACTACCCTTCCTGCTCTATACAGAGTGTTTGTAAATAAATGCGAAATATTTTAGAGGGTGGTTGCCAACGTTATTTCGTGAAAAATAGTTTATATAAACGTAGGTCGAAATATGCTTCGTTTCCGAGATACAAAATGTTTAAATTTTAATTTTTAATTTATTTTTATTAATTATTTCAGAGTTCTAAAGATATTGACTCGAAATTTGTATTTTATTTAGAAAGATTGACAGCAACCTACTAGATAGTGTATCAATAGAAATTAAAAATTCACAACTTGCAATAAAATATGTTTTATTTTTTCCTCAAAAACGATGCATCCTATGAAAAAATTGAAGAGACCAATTTAATTCCAAATTGATTGCGGAATTTTTTAAAAAATATCAAAACTGGAAAGAGTCAGTGGCGTACCATTTTTTTATTATAAAATGTTGTGGCATTCTCGCACGAACGCCACTGGTGCAAGTAGAAATATTCGGATCACACCAAAAATGCACGTTTATCCCTCCAAAACGGTTTTCCAAATTTCGAGTCGATATCTTTAAAACTCCTTAAAATAATTAATAAAAATAAATAAAAAATTAAAATTTAAACACTGTATCTCGGAAACTTTTTTTCACAAAATAATTTCGGCAACCACCACCTAAAATATTTAGCAATTATTTACAAACAATCTGTATATTTATATATAACAGTATGTCCGCGGATTGAGTTTACAAGAGGAGGAAAAGACCAAAATGTGAAAGATATGGAAGAAAGTAATTCCCAAGGACATTTAAATAAAGGGGACTATACTCCACGGTCGAAATTATAGAGAGTGATTCATCGCTAGCTTTTGGACTAGTAAGGGGGATGAAGCGTGGCGGGAACGAAACTCCATTGGCGTGTCTGCGTAAAAGGCAACAAGATATAGAAAATAATGAAAAAAGATAATAAAAGATAACATCTAATATTTTTTTCGGTTTGCTATAACAGGCACTTTGATCCATTTTAATTATTACAGCATATTAAAACGTCCCAATTGTGTTTTTTTAATTTATAAATTTATTATAGCCATGGAATTAGACCCCTCGTCTACGCTTATGCTATGACGTTTCTCAGGACGGGTTAAATTAACTCCGTTTGCACCCACTAAAAAAGCATTTCCCTATTCACTACCAAGTGCAAAAGACAGAGATAGAATATAGATCGACGTTCAGTGTAACTCGGTCTCTAGACGATTATAGATTCTATCGATGTGGGTAGCGAGCGGCACAAAGATAAATAATATTGAACCGTATAAAAATCATTTTATATTTTATACGCATTATGGTAATAGTGTTTTTATATTATG